GCATGCAATAATTTCTCCGTCTGAAGAACCACATCAGCCTTTCTCAAGCTAATTTCAATCCCCACAAAGGGAACTGATCATGCCCAGTATTTCTAGTCACAAAAAGGCATTGCCAAGATATTTGTTCTCCCTTATCTAAATGCAGCAGAGGTGACAAATACTTGAGTGCCTGTGCTAGCAGAATTCCACTTGTAGCTTGAAGAAAGTTTATTATAATTGTCTTGTAATAAATTAGGTATACAAAATTTGCTATAAATGTTAAATAGCATGACAATCTAGGACAGAAAAAAAATCCAGGAAATTCTCATCTAAAAAGTAGAAAGATATGAATAAAGTTAACTTAGCAATTATTGACGGCTGAATGAAAAGCCTGATATAAAACTAAGGTCAAGCATAGAATTAGAAAGTAAAGAAACAGGACAAAGGAAAGAGAATTGAACAGAACAAAAGAGGGCAAGAGAGGCTCAAAAGAAGGTCAAAAGAAGATAAACTGATCCAATAAGACATACCTGCATTTTATTCACCAGAACAGTCAGGAAATGCAAGTCCACTGGTGAACTAAGATGGGGAGACACTTTGGATACTTGGCCATGGACAATGGGTACCCCACGTGGGTGGCATTTACAGTCAGCGTGTAAATGTCTTTCAGCTGCTTTATCTAAAAGTTGGGCTAGAAAGAAAAAGTGTTCTCTGGTCTTTGGTTTTGGGAACGGGATTGAGTGTTAAGCCTAAGTGTTGTTCTTTGTTAAGACTTTGGGCGAAGCAAGCATCACCTCTTGGGAAGTAGGCAGGGCCTTCATGCTGAGGACTGAACCCAAATGGAGCAGATGGTAACTCAGGCGGAGGTCCTAGAGTCTCCCTGGGTGCCTCAGTCTCTCGGGGCAGGCTCTCTGGAGATGGTCAGAGCAAGACTGATATATCAACATATCAGGTTCTAAAGTAGAACAACAAAGTAAAAGAGTGAAAATGGTGCATATTTAAATCCAGCGGTTTTCTCTGTAAATAACTAAGCACTGAGCACTCAGAAGGACCCATAAATAAAAAGATACAAACAATACTTCTCTTTTCATTCTTAGGTGAAAATTATTAGTTTTGGATTGTGGGGCACCTTTTCCCTGTCTGTGTCATTCTAATCTGAAAGTCTTAGGAACTTTGTAATAATCCAAAATATAAATTGACAGACTCAGGAGTACATATACACATACACCTGAGCACCACACATGCACGTACACATACACACATGTGCGCATTAATTCAAGGATTTGGTATCACTGGTATCATAAAATTCCATCCAAATAACTAGGAAAGTAAATAAATATGAAATATAATTTACCCACCTATATCATACTTGTGGAATTCTAAGTGTACAAATTGCTCATACTACAGAAATGTGAAATCTTGTATGGGTTCTTATTTTAATACAAAAAAAAACCTTCGATATTCCATCAATATTGTGTGAGACAGCTTAATCTCTCACATACCCAAATCCCCTGATCTATCACAAATATCTTGGATTTTAATTTATTTAGATTCATGAATTCAAAACCAATGTATCATTCTAGAGTTAGTATTCATATACTGAACATTGTTACATAAAACTTATTTTAATCTTAAATCTAAGAAGGAAACAAAAAGGAAGAAAGGAAGAGAAAGAAAGAGAGAGGAAGGAAGGAAGGAAGAAAGAAGGAAGGAAGGAAGGAAGACATGGTAGATAAATGGATGGATGGGTGAGTGGAGGGATGGAGTATAGCACAAACATATTTAACCACCTATTTGTCTAGAATCCAATTTGTTCATCATCTTCTTGCCTGATCAACACACACACACACCCTCAGAAGTAAACCATTACCTAAGCTTGTTTTGATCACTCCTTTCTTTACTTTATGGCTTTGCTGCTCATGTGTATTTGTTTCTAAGCAATCTATTACTGAGATTTACTTGTTTTATTCTTACTTTTGTGAAAATGGAATCATCATAAACATATTTTTGGAGACTTTCTTCTTACATTCAGTCCTACATTTTTGAGCTGTGTTACCACTAATGTGTGTGGCTCTGGGTCCTGGCTTTCAAAGTCAGTCAGTATTCCAATGCATGAATGTAGCAGAATGTAATTATCCTTTCTCCTGCCGGGAGCCATTTGAATTGCTTCCCCCATTTGGCGATCAGAAACAACCAAGCCATAAACATTTTCCAACTCTCTCCTGTACACATATGTCTGGGCTCCTCTGGGGAACATATTTATGAGAGGGATTTCAGGATCCCACCAGTCCATGGTGCTTGTACCAATTTATGTTCCCACCAACATTACATGAGGTTTCTATTGCACCATATCCTTTCCAAGACTGTGTATTATTGTCAAATTTTGTAATTTTTTCCACTCTGGTGGGTGTAACATAGTATTGCATTGTGGTTTTAATTTGCATTTTCCTAATTATGAATGACAGTGAATTATATGTTAAACAAATGAAAAATTTCCTCTAAAACATTTGTTTCTAATAGAGCAGCAATAACTTGATGTTGTAAAATTATGGTTAATCCATTGCTTTTTATAATTATTTAAGAGAAAGTTTGTCTCTTAGGTGGTCTAGGGTAAGGAAAAAAAGTTTTACTATTTTGAAAACTGGGAATGTGTGAATAGCATTTCTCATCCTGATTAAGAATACGGAGGGGTGATCCCTACAATCAGAGCCCTAACTTTCCATTTCCTTTTATTCAAACGCCCCATCAAATATCTGTCAAAATCTCCTGTGAAAAACAAAGAGAGGAAGAAAAGTGAATAATTCCTTTCCAGGGTCTGTGTGTCTGTCTGTCTGTCTTATTTTTGATCTGCTAAATATTTAAAATAACTTGTGGAGCTTCTTTACAAATCTCTCAAATATGATTTTGTCTCTTCTTACTGGTGTAAAAATTATTTTTTCCACTTTAAAAAATTATAGAGTTTTAAAACATTATGGAATTTGTTTCACATAATTTATCATTTTGCATCAGCTTAATTGACATAGCTATCAGTTCATTTTTTTTTCAATTTAACTAATATATTTCTTCAAGATTTTGATTTTCTTTTAACAAATATACTTAGGCATGTTCTTTTTCTTTAGCTTAATTATCTGCTTCCCTATGACAACACTGCATGGAGAAGATATTTCTATTATTCTTATTTAAAATATATCATTTCTGTGTAGTCAGGATTTAGTTGATTTTAGATTTATTGTCCAATCACCTTACCCAATGGTGCTACTTAAATTACACTGTCTCTAGGTATCTTTATTAATTTCTTTGTGTTTTTATATTTCTTTGTATTCCCTCTTACTGGTTGTCAATCTATCTTACTACATAATTTGATACTACATATATTAATTTTTCAGGAAAAAAGTAGTAGCAGGTACATACTGATACACACTGTAATTTTCTTAATATGTGCCATGATAACCAAAATGAACTACTTAATATATCTGCTGATACTATCTGTGTGTCTGTCCAGAACACCAAGAGGGTGCAAAGTTTCTTCTTAGCATTTTTGGTTGGGACGAAGAGTGAAATTTCTAGAGCCATGCAGTAAAAAAAAAAAAAAATGTTTCTCAGTCATTTCTATTTCTAGTGACATTTTCTAGCAAGTTGGGCAAATATTCAAAATAAACTTCAACTTTGAACCTACCAAATTCCATATGTATGCCAATAAAGCCTGGGCTGAAAAGAGCTTTTATTTTTTTCAAAATAGCTTTTAAAAAAATCTGGTTTCTTAATGTACAAATACATGCCTTTTTCATATGACTAGATCACAATCCTAATTATAGCATATGTTCTTTTGTAATGAATCATTAAAATGTGTGAAAGTGTGAACATTGACAAAGTAATTTAACAAGGTCATTAAAGTACTCCTTGGTTCACAAATGATATTATTGCTGAGATTGCTTTTAATAATAATCCTTCTTAATTATAAATTAGTTAAAATAACAATCCTTTTGACTATTCACATAAATAATCCTACTGTCTTTGTAGAAATCCTTGACAATAACTCAGAGTATTATAAAAGACAGCAGCAAATTAATGTTCTGTGAAGTTTTAGTCAGTAAAAAGCTCCTCAAATCACAGTATGAGTTCATTGAGGTAAATAATTTGTAAAACACAAATCTGATATTTCTGAAATTCCTCAAGTCCAATACTGTGAAAATGCAAAGCAAGGTAAACCATATTATAGCTGTTTCTCACTTTCCACATTAGTTTGAACCTGAAAAGATGTATACAGATCACCTTTATATCCATTCAGTCTTTGCTTAACAGCAGATAAATTTAACTTGTTACTATACCTGATTTGTAAGGAAAGTTAAAGCTCATTTCTGATGCCATCTGGCTCTGGCTTGGGTCTTTTATCCCTCATTTCCCTCCTCTGTTCCTACTCTGCACCAGTCAAGTCATTCTTGTCTCCCACCCTCTCCAGGAACAACCTTTCTACTGAACCCGACAGGGTACACCTTCTCTCTGGGTCACTATTCAAATGCCAGCTTCTCAGAGGGGCTGTTGCATTCTGACTATTATACCACTACCTCATCCTTCTCAATCTAGTCACTTAAGCCTGCTGTATTTTTCTATATATTTGTTTACCGTTTTCTCCTGACAACATAAGCTCCATGAGGTCAGGGACTGATGTACCCCCAGTACACAGACCGAGCCATGTCTCCAGAGAGTCCATGTCTACCTGTGCTACCATCTGAAGCAACAGACAAGAGCTACCTCCATGCGTGTGACCATTAGTGTGCCCATTCTTGGGACATTCCATGCCAAGAAAAACCTCTCACTGGCTTCCAGGCTATCTTGATGGTAGTCTAAATGTGCCTGATTTATCTTCTCCTAATTTTCAATTCAAATTCACCATTTAAAATACATGTCTATGGTGTTAACAGAGAGATACACTGGTATATATCTTTAACTTAAATTCTATAAAATTCCACTCTCCATTAATAATACTAACAAATTCACAGGAATGTTCTCTTGTCATCTAGGACCCTACGATGATACATCAACCACTTTTGCTGCCACCTGTCAAAATTTTGGATGACCCTACTTTCAGGTATTGCATACCTTATGAAAGCATATTCACTATCTATGCTGGATTTCCAGCAGAATCAAAGATATTTAGAACACATTGATTAGAGTAAGACAAATTTCCAAGAATGATATATAGTTCATTTGCGAATGAAGCAAACCTTGAAAGGCAATCCAACAAAATAATGATGACAGTGGAATTATGGACATATGTCAGACTTTCAAAATCATTTCCTTGGGACCTTGAGGGGTAGAATTAACACCCATGTTCTTACTAGTAGTGTTATCTTGAATGTATACACCATGTTTAGTAATACTGGTAATTGAGTGACGTTGCCACAGATGTCATGTATATGTATATATAATGTTTAATTATGTTTAATGTTACAATAGTTCTAGATTATTCATTGTACTAAATCCACAGAGTCACTGTTACACTCCTACGAATGAGTAAAAAATTTTCTCTTAACAGGAACACAAGGTGATACGTTGTTATAAATAGAAACAGGAAAATGGGAGGGTGAATTGTTTTAAATTTTTAAACTACTCTAGATACTATTTTTAAGACACCCTGGCAAAACAAGTTTCAATTTCAATCCTGGGCATTAACAACAGGGTTTAGGGGCCTCAATGTTTCCAAAAAGTATTTTAGACAGATGTTTCGTCTTAGTTATATTTGGCATTAGAGTGCCATGGTGAATGCAATATTAATGGTGCAGTTTTATTATATCTCAGAGCCCTCTTCCTTGCAAAATGAAAGTTCCTGCCTTCAATTATTTTTAGACTGAAAAGTGCTCAGCAATACAATAACTTATCTTGCTAATAAACTGTAAAAATATTAATAAAAGTTTACTAGCTACTTTATCTTAAATTCACAGCTCTACAACACAGTTTCTTATTCCATACTGAAGTTGTGATTTTTAAATTCCAAAGTCATGCTTCTGCACCCCAAAATAGGGGCTCTGTGATTGTTCTTTGTCCCACAGAACATCTTTGGAAACTCATCATTGTTCTCCCTTCCCTGTGTGTCAGCTTCCTTTCCACATTACGTTTCACATGAGTCACTGTTCCGTAGAGCAAAGTCTGAGGGCACGAAATGCCTCTTTGCATCTGACAGCTTTTTCTTCCTGACCTTTTTGTGTGTGTGATGTAGTGCCAGCCAACTTTTATGAGGCCCCAGTGTTGCTTAATGAAGATACATAGGAAAAAGCATATAGTGGAGGAAAATTCAGTTACTGTGAGAGATCTGCTTTTGCCTTCCCACTGTGTACCTGTCAGAGCTTCACATGGAAACCAACAGCATTGCCATGTTTTTACAGTATCTCCCCAAGTTATGAGCTGTCACATATTTGACAGTGAAAAAGTGGCTTAGAAATGCAAGGTCCAAATTTGAACTGCTTTCTCTTAATTAGCCCTGATAAGATTCTTTGTGAGAAGTTATTTGCTGCCTTTGTCATTCTTTTTTCAACTTATATTTCTAACAATTTTAGAGTGAAAATAAGTTAAATTCCGATACGAAACAGGTTGGAAAAATCATCCCTTGGGAGATTAAAAATATAACTGAGAAGTAAGATCAGTTTGCCATCATATTAGGTGAATCACATATGATTTAGTCTTAATTGAAAGGACTACAAAATTGAGATTAAGGAGAGGGGAATTCCTATTCTTAGCTCATTTACCACTGATATGGAATGACCTACCTCATAATAAGGTAGTTCATTAAACCCTCCTTAACTCCTTATTTCTAAGTCTGTAAAATGAACCAATTATACTGCAAGTTTTCTCAGGTCCCTTCCAGAATTGAGACTCTGGAATGTCTGACTATAACTGCTCTGAAGAACAGATTCCAGCTGGAAATAAAATATCACATCAAGTTCTTTCTAACAAGTGATTTGATTTGTAATAGTTTAATTCCTCTCACTTGAGTATTTTTGTATTGCTTTATTTACACAATCATTGAGCCTATTCTAAAATTTGACAGATGGGTAAGAGGTAGGAAAGATAAAAAAAAATAGAGGTGTGTCTCTGGCTAGATTGAATTTTGACCAGAGAGGAATTTATTTCTGCTTACCACTGAAGTATAGTAAACTTGTTGAAAATAACAACTTTCTAATAAATTTCCAATTATGAATAGGTCTATTTCACATTTAACTCTTAATACAATTTAAGTTGAAATCTGATATGCTTTTTCCAAAGCTGAGGAGAGTTATATCAATGGAAATTTGATCTTTTCCATTATTGACTTGAAATTTAATTAAATATATTTACTAAATTATATTAACAAAATTATTTGGATCACAGGCTCTATTGATTTTGTTATTGGTTGAGTTGAACTCTGTAATTATGCCTTACTTTGTGTTATATTTCTAAAATATTTTGGGGACAATTAAACCTTCATAAATTTTAGTTTTCCGTCTATGCATGCAAATGTTTATTAAGAATTATTTTTATCTATAAAAGAACTATATATTCTCCTCAAAAAGACTGCATATGGTGGGACAAGTACCTAGTTTGTGAAAGTTGGATAAGACAATAGGCCTCTAATTATATGACTGTGTCAGAGAATCAGGAGTGGGCAGTTTGGCTAGAACAGTGAGAAATAAAGTAAATATGAAAAAACCAGCAGAGTACTTTGACTTAAATAAAACTTTTCCAACTCCCTATACTCAATTTTATAGTTATAACTTTGTGCTGTTATTCTTAAAGAGGGCACCTATGCATGGATCTCTGAGTCTTGTCCAAGACGACAGGGTGTAACTCCTCAAGTTGTCAATAATTTGGCCACTGTAGTTCATCTGGTAAAAGAGTTAGGAGATGCAAGGAGCTTGGGCACCTGGAATGCAGTGCCCTGACCAGCTGTGCTGGCCTGATCTGCATCACCTCTTTCCTGCTTCCTAAACTTTTGACCTAGATGTGTCACGTAGATTCCAGTTTGGTTAATGTACATAAGTACAAGCACTCTAAAACCTTTTAGTAACATACCTTTTTCATCTCATTAAATGATGCATTGCTAATAATAAAACTTAACTTATGTTTAAAATAAATTATGTGTCAAAACCAGTAACAAGTTTAGTATGTTTTGCTCTAGTGACTCAAGAGCTAAGTTGCCTGGTTTACTTTTAAATTGACATCTTTTTAATCACTTGGTTAAGGTAATAAATAAATGTGCCATCTCTGTTTCCTCATAAGTAAACCTTGGTTAATTATAGTACCTTCTTTATATGTTTTTATAATGTAATCATGAGCCTGAAAAGTTAATCTTATTTTTCATGCCTCTTACCAGTGAATCATTCATTATGTGCCATTTACTTTTCTAGTGCTGGTGGCTACACTATACACAAATAGATGGAGTAGAGGTACAAGTAATTGACCCTTAGATTGGTGCCAAGAATTTAGCAGGTCTTCCAAAAGTGAAAGCTACTGTTATTATCAGTAGTATCATTATTACTATTACGTCTAATAAAAATTAAAATGATAATGAAATTCAGGAAGATTTTTTAAAACATTCATCTATGGCCATTTGGATGAGAAAAAAAATGTAATTTTTTAAATGTATGTAGATATTTTGTTGCAAAGAAGTTTTAAAACAGGGTAAAGATTTTTATAAGAGATTAGAAGAAGCTACCTAGTATCAGCGCAAACAACTGCAAGGGAAAATGTGCACATCACAATATCATAGATTTTAAAATATCACTGCTCAGGTAGTGAGCTACATCTTTATCCTTCTGGATCTGCTCTGCCTTTGATCTCTACTATTTATGTGTCATGAATTTTTCTCACTTTCTTTCAAGGGATCACTTAAAATAACTTGTAATATAAAAACATATTTTAACAGAATAAAACTCTATGAGGGTAATGATTGGAATATGGTTTCAAGGGGAGAAAGAAAGTAGTTTCTGTTAGGAAGAATGCATTCATTTGTTGCAATAAATGTGACAGGTATTAAACAGTTCATCTGTTTATATGTCATTGAAAGCACTTGAAGGGATGCCATAACAGTTATAATTTAAAATGTCAACCTTTAAAATATATCAAAAATCACATGCTTTACAATTGCGCTGTCAATTGAAATGTGAAAAGTTCTTCCAAAATTATTTTGCAGTGTCAATAAAAATTTTTTAAGAGTATTCCTTTAGAAGAAAGTGTTACATTCTTCTTCCCCATAAGGAACGTAATTAAATAATAATTGAATAAACAAATACTTATAATTAGTATTTTATAATTATAAATAAATTGTTGAACAAATACGCATATAAATTTTCTTACCATAAAAATATGATGCTATAATATTATGCCTTCATACAGTGCATTTGTAACCAGAAGAAGTAAGCTTATCCAAATTTGATTTAAACCCCACCACAGAAACTGGATCTAGGGTAATGCAACTTAATACTACAAGTATTGAGTACAAGTATGAAGTGAAAAATGTGCTTTTGGTGCTAGTAGTAAATGAATAAATGTGCCTGTGAAGTTGATGGGTTGAAGATATAAAAAACTTCCTGTTTTGTTATTAACGATAATAAATTATAAAGAAGTAGGAAAGATCCATTGCAACCAGAACTGTATAATTACTTGTGTCTTTATCATATTTGTAATATGACCATTAGCAAATACTTACTTTGATTTTTGGCAATGAGAAATGATATATTTACAAAGACATAAGAAGTTGTTGACATTTATTTAATCATAAATGGGAGAAGTTCTTTTTCAGAGGTGGGTTGACTCACAAAATAAATAACTGGAGCCAGACATGGTGATACGCATTTGTAATTCCTGCACTTTGGAAGGCTGAGCCAGGAAGATCCCAAATTGAAGCCTAGTTTGGGCAACTCAGTGACTTAGTGAGACCCTACCTCAAAAACAAAACCAAAAAAGGGCTGAGGATAAAGTCAATGTGAAGGTTCTGGATTCAATCTCTAGCATGGGGTAGGGTGGGTGGGCAGGAGAGCAATCAGTTGAAGAGAGAGTATTTAAGGGAGATTTTTTTATGTGTGGGGCTGAGACAGACCTCAGTCGGCAATCTGA